GAGAGAGAGAGAGAGAATTTTAATTTCTTCGCCTTTTTCTTTTACATTTCTGATAAGATTGTATTAGTTTACAAGGCCTGTTTTATTTGGACGGTGTATATTTGGCACTATCTTAAAAGATGTGCAGTTTTTGATATTTTGACATTGTCTTAAAAAACATGTCAGATCTACATCATCCAACTAAAATAGTCTGTGTAGAATATGATAACCTTATTTTTCCAATTAAGGTTTACACCTTATATAAACCACACCCTGATTGATTTGGGAAATGAACTAGTTGTAATGTCATGTGGTGAGTCCCCTGCCCACCATTGGATCGGTGGGTGAGCCCTTGACCATTGACGCAATGGTGGGTGGGTGACTTAATGTAGCTGGGGCTCACCATTGTGTTATGGTGGTGTGGTCTCTTGCCAACTGTTGGATCAATTGGTCAGAGCCTCCCCACCTTTATGAGATGGTGAGCCTCACACTGGGTTGAACACATGAATTTATATGCTTTTTTCTCAAGGACTTTTTCTCAGAATTTCACCAAAGGAAAATGATTTTTAGATATTCCCCTTTGTGAGGTTTAATTTCAGCTGTATTTATCGTATGAATTGTAGTATTGCCATTTACCAATTTTCTGTTGCAGTTTGGAGGTATGGTATTTCATGGTGTTGGTTCTTTTTGCTGGATATTTGAAGAACCCCGAAGTTTCTGTTGATGGTGTAACTATATGGTGAGCAAAGATCTGTAGGTAAACCTCACCCACACACACCAACGGCAACGAAACCCATTTTTAATAAACAAAGGAATTGTATGTTATGAGACCGTTTAGTTTTGGTATAAGGTGGTCACAATTACCTCTAGCCATCAATGCTATCTCCAATGGCAGGGGTGTGACAAAGTGTGAGAAATTGTTTTTTGAACTTTGAAGCCTGTCCGCAAACAGCCCTATCTCATATCTAACAGCTAAGTCGTAACCTTCTTGTACCAAAAGTAGGTGGTCTTATTGTGTACTTTCTCTTAAAGAAAAGGTAACTTGTATCTTTTGGCTGACTCAAAGCCCAGTTTCAGAAAGGAATTAGTACCAATTCAGACTCATCCACAATTCGGCTGCTCTGGTGCTTCCAAATTAGATTAGCATAAAAGAAATTTTCAAAATTTCATTAATATCTAATGGAATGGACTGCTAAACCTCTGTTTGGACACCAATGCATGATTTAGTTAAGCTGGCATACGTTGAACGACAAGACACCCTCTTCTGCAAATAGGACGAAAACAGGTATTCATCTCATTCCCAAATTGACCAAGTTCTATGAGTCTAAGGCACCCCCTCAGATTTGGAAATGGAACCCAAAGGGGATGCATAATGCATTGAAACAAATGTTCCAACATCTGAAAAGCCATCCCAACAGTGTCAAAGCATGTTTTGTGGAGGCATGCAAATGAGTCCCTAGGTAGGTGTAGCAGTTAGTGCCTCAAAACGCAACATTAAGTCATAAAAGTACAGAAACCTCACAGCTTGGAACTCATGGCAGGTTTGAATATCAAAGCAAATACATGGTAGATTGCTTAACAAGATCACATTGATTAAAACATGGAGCAAATACATACAGTTTAAGTGCCACTAAACCTTTAGAAAACCCCTCGTCTGCCATTTAGAGCCAACCCTGTGATTCGGGAAAGAAATCTGTGCTCAATGTCTATTGAAGCAAGCATTCAAACTAGGAAGAGAGAACCAATTGATTTTAATGGAAATTGTTTATCGAATGGGCTAAGCTGATTCAAGAAAATGGGGTCTTTTCCTGTTTCAACTTTCAACAATGGCCCCAGGTCTCAAAGTTACGAAAACAGTTTTAACTGCAAAGAGTATGCTTGGTGCTTTTCGAGCATCTGATGTACAATGGAGGTTTGAGATGTCTCATTAAGCTCCTCAAAGTCTGTCAATTTTCTGAAAAATATAAACTTCTATCATACTATATGGTCGCTTAACAAAGAGGCCAATAGCAAACTTCTGGTGATTTATATACAGCATTTCCATTTTCTGAAGAAACAGAACACATTTATCCTTCTCATTTTTTTTTAGCTTCACATAAGCTATAACACTGGTTGTTTGGTGTATTCCATATTAATACAGCATGAATATTTTTGTTTGGGCAATCATGATGGCCATGGGATTCAATGCTGCTACCAGGTCAGTAGAATATATCAACATTCAAACCTAATGAACTTCTTAAGTTCAGTATTATAACACCTCTCTCTCTCTCTCTCTCTCTCTCTCT